TTCACCCGTAACATCAAGTGAACTCAGCCGTAACAGGTGTTACGGGTTACGGCCCTTAATGACAGCCCTGATCACCCAACAAGTGGACTAACACAAATCTTGCATTTTCATTGGCTACACTACTAGAGGACTATTAGTAATAGTCCTTGAGTAGCGAAATTGGCGTAATCGAGCGTGATGCTTTCTTTCGTTTTATTCCCAAATAAATATTTCTTCAACTTGAGAGTTACACTTCTAGGACGCGCAAGCTTTTGGCCTCGCTGACTTGTCTGATCCAGTGCAGAATTAACCGCTGGGGAGATAAGTTTGGCATTTGGTCACGCAATGGAAGTTCGTCTGTCACGCCGATTGTGGAGCGGTGTTCCCCCCTTTATGCCATAGAACAAGTGTTTATTCCTTGTGTTTGTTGGGGTATTTAAAGCATTACTCCCTAGGAACTGCAACATTAATTGCCTTTTCTGTCGGACTACATGTAGTTGGGTGATAGTAAAACAATTAGACCCTTTTTCCTCAAGGGCCACCGGTCAATAGCCCATTTGGCTTTACCTCACGGGCTATTGACCCGTAGCCCGCAAGGGCTACAGGTCTAATTGTTAAAATAATAGTCAAAGGCTAATAAACTTGTGGCCCTCAGAAAATAAAATTATAAGCCTAATGAAAAATGAACAGTACTATGAATACAAATATATAATATAATAAAGATTAAAAACCTAAAGTTATGAGAGATGTGAATAGTTGAATAACAATAATATTAGAAACTTCTGTTAAATATAGACATTTACAAATAGATACAAAAGCTAAATCCTAAAATGGTCTAAATGTTGCTGCACTGTGAAGATCATTTTAAATAAATGAGTTTTTAAGGACTTTACAGAGCCTGATTTTCTGGTATTTAGAGGCACATTATTCCAAAGTTTTGCTGCTGATACAGCCAAAGAATGGCGTCCATCAGTCTCACCTTCAGACTGTAGTCTGTAGTGTGTTAAGTGTTATGTGTATGACACATGAACAATAACAAACCTTTTTATTTATTATTAATTTTTCTATCATCTGCCAGAAAACTTGAAGAGACAGTGAAGCATGTGGTCCGTGTATCAAGAGTGTAAGTTGTACAAAATGTACAGTATACTAGTTATGCAGAGTTTTTGATGGGTTTACCGTGGAATATCCCGAGTCACTTGCATTTCCTTGGTTTACCCACAAGATTTTTAGGCGAGTTTGTATACCAAGAAGATACAAGTGCTAAGTAGGATATTTCATACATGTAGTACAGGTATACCAAAGAACGTGTTGCATGTAACTAGTATTTTTATACCATGCCATAGGAAATAGAGTGGCTAACACAATTAACTCGCTACATGCTGGGAAAGTTAGATGTATAACTGTCGAGTATACAACAGCTTTCCTCTATTCTGATTGGCTGTATTTTTAAATGGCATGGCACACTGTATAAATGTACTTATATACAAAATGTAGCAGTTGTACATGTACCATGTTACTATGGGACGGTTTTATATGCACACAAACTCATTCTAATCAACATGTACGTTTAGTTAACTGCAAAACTGTTTCAAGAAACAGGGATTTTAAACTACCCTTTACTTGACCCATACTTCAAATATTAAATCAATTACTAGACAGTCTGAGTTTGAGCACTAACGTCACTTATTCAAGAGTTTGATTGAGGTTTACAAGAGTGCACTGTCTGCTGAAGACAACCATATATAAGAATTGCAGGGGATTAGATACAATAG